TCTGCGTACCCACTGCCCACCTACACAGTCCCTGGAAGGTAGGGCCAGGGTAGGTGGTCAGGGTGGGAGGCAGGTTAGAGTGGGAGGCAGGCAGAGCCTCCAGGCCAGTCTTTGCCACCCCCTCCACTCCTCTGTCCTTCATCCCTGCTCTGCCAGGCAAACTCTTCCGCTGTTCGGCCCTGAGCTGCACCGAGACTTTCCCCAGCATGCAGGAACTGGTGGCACACGGCAAGCTGCACTACAAACCCAATCGCTACTTCAAGTGAGACCCCGTCCACCCCGCCCTCTGCTGGTGCTTGGTAACCAGACTCCAGGCAGCTCCCCCCACCACTGATTTTACAGTCACTATCTGGGGTCCGGGCTTTTCTCCCTAGTCAAGGGGGTTGGGTCTGGGAGTGGGCGTGACCTAGGGCAAGCCTTGCCCTTAGCTGCCCGGAAGAGAGACTGGTTGCTAGAGCAAGTTCCGGGGACCCGGAGGGCAGGGCTTGGAAAGGGGAGGGGCATACATGGCGTGGCTCCGTTAAGTCCCTGTGTCTTGCAAGATTAAAAACTGACCACCTAAGTCAGAATTAAGGCTTCCTTCCTCATCTTCCCGGGTCTGCGACCAGGAGGGGTCCGGAATGGTTGCGACCACAGTAGGGGGGCGTTTAGGGCAAGCTCCTCCCACGCATGTGGGGAATCTGTTATTTGGACCCAGGCACCCTTACCACCCTCGAGCAGCGGCTACCCAGGTTACAATGGATAGGCCCCTTCCTTGCACCCTAGGAGACCCAGCCTAGCCCTGTGCTGCCCCCAGGTGCGAGAACTGCCTTCTGCGCTTCCGCACTCACCGCTCGCTCTTCAAACATCTGCATGTTTGCGCTGAGCATGCGCAGAGCCCAGCCCCACCGCCACCCCCCGCCCTCGACAAGGAGCCACCGGCGCCCGATCGCCCACCGGAGTCCGACCCTGCGTCGGCGCCGGGCCTGTCGTTTCCGCTGCTCGAGCCGTTCACGACTCCTGCTCCTGCCCCCACCGGGCCCTTCCTGCCCTACTTGAACCCCGCGTCCTTTGGCCTAAGCCCCCCACGCCTGCGCCCCTTCCTGGCCGCCGCTCCCGTGCCGCCCGCCTCCAGCGCTGCGGTCTGGAAAAAGAGCCACGGTGAGTGTGGGAGCAGGGCCGCCTGAAGAGTGGGCGGGGCTCAGTCTGACTTATGACCTTGACCCGCCTATTTACCGCAGGTGCAGGCGGCAGCCCGCGAAGACCCCAGGGCGGCTCCGACGCGCCTTCAGGTGCGTTCAGGTGACCACCAGGGAGGGTGGAGGGGATTTCTTTCCTGCGCCCTGCGGGGCCCAGAGGATGCGGGGAGGCAGCAGTGCCCACTCCCTTCCCAGGTGGCCAGAAATGTCACCCCCGAAATACAGGATTTTGCCTTAAAAGTTACTGGCCCCTGCTCCTTCATCTGCGCCGGCGTTTCCGTGAAAAACTCGCGCCCGGTTCCCGAGTCCCTCCCCTATGGTGGTTCAGGGGATGGGAAAGGGGAACGCGGATAAGTCATGTTTAGTGCCCTCCAATACAGGGGGAAATCAGCCAGGCCAGACCCTCGGCGTCCGCGAGCTGATGGGGAGGCGGGGAAAGGTCTGACCGCCCTCGCGCACGTCCACCGTCCTCGGGGGTGGATGGGTCCTCAGGGCTGAGGTCCGGGACTGACGGGATCCCGCCTGCCCGCAGGGCACGCGGCCCCGAGCCGCATCGTGTGGGAGCACACGCGCGGCCGCTACTCGTGCATGCAGTGC